AAAGTCTTGTGCAGCCCTACTTTGATTATTATTCCCCCCTTTGGGACACTTGTGGTAAGTTGCTAAGAGACAAGTTGCAAAGATTTCAGTCTCGTGCAGCAAGAGTCCTAACGGGTGCTAATTATGATACTCGCTCCGCTGATCTTCTCAACATGCTTTCTTGGGATACACTTGAAAATAGGCGGTCTGGTGCCAAGTCAGTATTAATGTATAAAATACTTAACGACCACACTGCGCCAGGTCTCCGGGGTCATTCGTGAGAAGAGAAATAGATCAAACTAATTATCATCTTCGAAACACAGCAACTGATCTAACAATTCCTAAACCGAAACGAGAATTTCTTAAAAAAAGTTTTAAATATAGCGGCGCTATGCTCTGGAATCAACTCCCAAACGAAGCAAAATTGGCCGAGTCGACTCATTCGTTTAAATCAATTGTTGGACAGCGACATGCTTCCTAATTATTTGTATATAGTAACGTGTACAGTATGTGTGTACTAATATTTAGTTTAAATTTTCCTTTTAATGATTTTTAAGATCTAAACACGCCCCCCATGGAAACCAGCCTAGAGTTGATGGGGCTAGCGTGTTCTTCTTTCTGTTAATTTTAAATAAAGTATTACCTACCTACCTACGGTGTGTTCTGAAGCTGCGAATCTACTCAATGAGAGGCCAATTGGAACATTGCCTTCCCTCGATTCTGATCTAAACGTGTTTACTCCGAATAGTCTCCTATTAGGACGCTCGACAGCCAAGAATCCTGGAGGATGGCAACCTTTCACGTACAGCCAGAGTCCGAAGACGAGATACAGCCTGGTGCAAACAGCCGTAGAAGATTTCTGGGAAAAGGGGATACAACTATACGCCCCCTCTCTAGTTGTCCGTCGCAAATGGCATGTCAACACAAGAAATTTACGTCCCGGTGACGTCGTTATGATCGCGGACAAGAATGTGATGCGAGGAGAATACCGTCTCGGAGTTGTTAAAGAAGTCTTTCCTGATCAGGATGGAAAAGTCCGTCGAGTTCTGGTAACGTACAAGAACTTTCGTGTTGGAGACCGTCAGCAAGATTATGGAATCAGTGAAGCTGTTACTGTTTCTCGAAGCGTTCAGCGTTTGGCACTACTCGTACCCGTGGAAACAGAAGATGGAGACAAGGAAGATGTTTGAAAAACGGAAACATGGAACAAGGATTATTACAGACACGTATATTTTACATTCTGTTGTTTTGTTAAAAGCGGTATCGTATCGACCCCATCCTCCCGGTGTGTTGGTATGACTTCACACGTTATTAGAACTTTCGATACGATAACAGACTTACATAAAGTACTGACTGAGATACGAGGCGAGCCCGCGGTAAATAGGACGACAACGTGTAAACAACGTAGGGGTTTTTGGTTTTAATACACCACAGTGTTTTACCGCTCAAAAGGCTTAATAATTCGACGATATTTGTAAAGAAATAAAAGTTTATACATTGTTTAAGTACATTATCGTTTTCTTTGTGTAATTATGTTTGCATGCGCGTTGAAATACGTGGGTATATAGCGATACTAATACAAACTGTATACATAAAAGGTAAACGAAACAAATATTTTATTCAAAATCGACAGCGACGCTGACGTCACAGTGATACCTTTAACAGTATATCAACAACGAAAACTACAGTCAACACTCAAGTCGACTGGCAAAGTTCTTATGGGCCCGTGCAATTACAAAATGAACTGAATAGGAACATTCACTTCACAGCTGCGACACGAGAACAAGACAACTATAGAAGAAATATTGGTCGTCAAAGGACTCGAAAGATCACTATTAGGAAGACAAGCAGCCCACAGTCTGAATTTACTCAACTGTGTCGACGCTCTAAACAGCAAAGAAATGTAAGAAAGCGTTAAAGAAAAGTATCCCAATCTTTTCACTGGACAAATTAAAGACCAAGAGTATGATATTAAAGTCACGCACGAAGCAACACCTTTTGCAATCACGGTTCCACGACAAGTTCCGATACCACTTCGAAAAGAAACCGAACGGGAATTACAAAGAATGGAACGCAACGGAGTAATATCTCGAGTTGAAGATCCAACCGAATGATGCGCCCCGATGGTTGTAACGCCAAAAAGCAATGGAAAAGTTCGAGTATGTGTATATCTCACAAAGTTTAACCAGTTCGTGCAATGCGAAAACCATCCCCTACCAACAACCGACACCACATTTGCAAACCTTGCTGGAGCTTCCTTGGACGATATTTTTCAAAATTAGACGCCAACTCTGGATTTTGGCAAATCAAACTTTCGGAAAGATCAAAACCTCTAACAACGTTCATAACACCCTGGGGACGGTATTGTTTCATCGTTTCGGAATAAGTTCAGGGTCTGAAAAGTTTCAGAAATGTATGTGCCAAATTCTCGAAGGTTTGGATGGCGTCGAATGCAACATCGATGATGTTCTAGTGCACAGTGCAACACAAGAAGAACACGACCGAAGATTGGAAACGGTTCTCCAACGACTCGGTAACGCCAACGTCACGCTCAATGCCGAAAAGTGTGTTTTTAACGTCTCGAGTGTGAAATTCCTAGGTCAGATCGTAGGAGCCGATGGCATCAAATCCGATCCAGAGAAACTACAAGCGATTCTCGAAATGCCACACCCAACCAACCTACATGAAGTCTTGGAATGGTAAACCAATTTAGCAAATTTACCACCAATCTTGCTGACCTGACGAAGCCCATCCGAGAACTGCTAGTTAAGAACACTGCTGGACATGGGGACCACCACAACAAGACGCTTTTGACAAAATCAAGAAAGCCCTGACATCAGCACTAACCTTGTACGACCCCAACAAAGCAACCAAAATAGCAGCCGACGCATCATCATACGGTCTTGGAGCGGTGGTGCTGCAAGAAGAAGAAGAAGAACCAGACACCTGGAAACCTGTATCATTCATTTCAAGATCGATGACAACAACTGAGGCGAGGTATGCCCAGATAGAGAAAGAATTTCTAGCGGTAACTTGGGCATATGAACGGTCAAATTGGAAAGACAATAACAATTGAAACTGACCACAAACCACTGGTAACTTTATTAACCAACCATACCATCGACAAGTTACCTCCAAGACTACAACGCTACAAGATGAGACTAATGAGATTCCACATCAAAGATGTTTGACACGTACCTGGAAAACTACACTACACAGCCGACACTCATACCTGAAAGCACAGTCCAACCAACCGTAGAAGAAAATGAAATGAACGCTTACGTTTTAAGTGTAATTGATGCTTTGCCCGCATCTAATCCGAGATTGAAGGAAATCCAACAAGCCCAAGATGAAGACGAGGTATGCAAAGAAGTGAAGAAATACTGTATGGATCAATGGACAGAAAAAGATCATGTCACCCCTGCCGTAAAGCCTTACTGGTCAGTATAAGGACAGCTCACCATCGCCGACAGGTTATTACTCAAAGGAAAAAGACTGGTCATTCCACCCCGCTTGCAACGCCAAACCCTCAACCAAATACACGAAGGTCACCAAAGTATCAGCAAATGCAGAGAACGAGCCAAAATATCCGTTTGTTGCCAGGACTCAGTGCCCAAATTAAAGTCATGGTCGTTTTATTCATTTCGCAAAACGTTTGATCCGTAAACCCTGATCTTCAGCAGTGCAAATACAATATACAATGAACTTATACGTGATCAATCGTTGAAAAAAATTAAAAGTAAACTTTATGCAACGCCAAGACGTTAGACCAAATTCGGCAACGTTAGACACAATTCGGCAACGAAGCGCACTTTTTCAATTCGTGAAAGAAAATAAAACCGTTCTTTAGTATTAATGGTAGAGTTTGTACAACCTGTCTCGATAACTCTTCCACTACCGTCAAACATTTCAAGGTAATACTGATATGGACTTTACGAAGGTCTAAATCACAGTGTGAAAGTTTAAAAAAATAGAGAGCCAACTCAGTGAGTTATAATCGACTGTGGCAGCCATTGTACTAATAATACATGTTATTTCAACACTTGAGGACGTTGAGAATGCGCCATGATATAAAATCCATGGAAAGCCACTACAATTACGCAAAATATCAACAAAATATTCTCAAAATACACAAAGGTCTCTCACCTACTCAGTGCCATTTTGAATCTGGTTCGATTATCTATTTACTTGTAATGCACGTGAGCGTTGATTGGTCGGGAAGCGTGTTTCTATACAACTGTATGGGAACACGGAAAATTTCCCGTCTCTCAGCTTTGCTTTTAAAACGTAAACAAAACAATTTTAATCCGCGCAGAAATGTAATAATTAATACTAGAATTTACAACAAAATTTGGGAACCAGAAGACAAAAAGAGAATTCTCAGTCTAAATAAAGGAGAAGTTGACTATTTTATGGTCAAATTGACGAGCAAATTCCAGGGAACCAATCGAGGGTAGGTTCTGAGGTAATGAGAATGTGTAAATTGATCGATACAAGAAAAAACCTTTCTTCAGTTATGTTATAAAGGAAATAGAAAACCTTTTTTCCTTTGTTTTTATACAGAAATAATTGTGGTAGTTTGGGTCACTCGAAATAACGAAATAACTCTTTCTCGTTCTCCCAAACTCCCATAGGTGTTTCTTTAACTGTACAGAAATGTTTGTATAACTTCATAGAAGCACGGAAAATGTTTTCTATATTATTTAAATACGCATTGGTTCATGTTGACTGATTCTGTAGCATTCGTTAGTGTGTAAGCACCCACCCCGCTGCACCCGCAGAAAATCCACTAATGCAAGTTGTGTATACTAAAGAAACATGAACTTATAAACTATTAAACACAACGGTCTGTGCCAGTGTATATTAGGTTGTGCTAATAATAAAAAAGCTTCAGATTGATAGGGATGCAATTACCTGAAAAATACAAGGAGAATTTCGAAGAAGGGCCGACGAAGGGACTTCTTGGATTGTTCAAGTAGTTGCATCCCAATCAATCCGAAGCTTTCTTATTAAATACTTGAACCAAAGAAAACGAAAATAAAAAGTCACTATACCTGCACGTTGGGAGAAATTACTCACCTCGTATCACCAAGTAAGGATAAAAGTCGAGACTGAGGAAGATTTGAAGTCGTGAAATGAGATAACGCTCCAAGTAATTTTTCTGCTTTAACAATATCTTCACCAGTAATCTATATAAAACGGATTATATACATAATTTGAGTCATAATTATTCCAACGACAACTTTTCAGTCATAATTATTCCAACGACAACAACAATAACAACAAAACACACCATGCAATAACAACTTTGTGCATACACCTATACGCTTAGCGTACCTATATTTTACCGCTTTCCGAACTAAGTTTGCACTGATTCACGTAAATGTTGGTGGTCCCTGCAGAGGAATGCTAAATTGTGAGAGTATTAAGCTCCCACGTGACTGAGTCGAAGGCTTGATAGGGCGCCTCCGATCTGTCACCACACGAACCATGTCTGATCACGAAACATAGCTAAGCCTAAAGGGTTAATTTTCTGGTGAGGGAGGAAACCCCGAGGTACGGAGGATAGCCCTGGAAATACCGGAGTTCTACCACCACAACCGCACTTAATTGACTTTTCAAGCACAAAAGATATGTGCAGTGCACCAAACAACGTCACAAGAAACTACCTTTGTCTTTGATCTATATTAATAGGCTAACTCAACGGTAAGCAGGGCGCTTCCCCATTTGCTCTTTCAGTTTTTCGTCATGATACTTTCTTCAAACTAAAGTAGTTAATCTATATATAAGGTAAGTAAAAGATAAGACGAATAAAATGCCTCATACGATACCTCCATATCATTCAAGTGATGTAGAGATAAATGTGCAAGTCGGAATAACGTGTATGGTTTCCAAAGATGAAAGTAAGTTACTGGATTATCATCACTTATTGTTAAACATTCCAAATGTTTTATCACAGCCAAGGCATTGATTTGCGGTAAAGTCTTTATGTTTGTATTCGTAAATACCAGTTTCTACAGAAAATTAAAACGACTGATTTCAAGACGGAAAACAACACAATTATTTGTTCAGCAAAACTCTCAACTGGGGCCGGTTGTACGAAGGCCGGACAGCAGTATCCACAAGATAACTAAATGTATCTTTTTTATTAATTGTAGTACTAACTACTTGTAATACATCCGTAGTTTTGTAGCATTTCAAAAGGTTGAAAAAATCACTAGCTGGTGGATAGCGCTATTTGACTTTCGTACAACTGGCAACAACTGGCCGCTGCATGTTATCATTATAATATGCTTTCTATTGACGATAAGGGCATGGCCATAGAAACTTTGTCAAATAAATGGGCGTGGTGCTTTCCACAAACAAAAACGAAAAATCAAGCAAGTAAGTTTATATCAGCCTAGTTCCCCGGCCTTTTCGCTTCCGCCTTACTATTTTAGGGTGGTATTTTGACAAGGTTTGCAGGTTGACCGGGATTAAGTTCGGACTCTTTTCGGATATTTTTCGAAACGGGCAGCCCGCAAATTCAGCTTGCGCTTGCGCGTGAACGGCCAAGAGACTAGGCTAAGATTATATATGTATTTCCTATAATACTTTTTGTTTGTGGAAACACCACGTAAATTTATTACTGCATGCAAAGCTTTGGATCCGTAAGCCCGGATCTTCATCAGTGCTAATAATATAGACGCCATTGCCAGTCAACATCAATAATTTTTACACGAGAGAAAATTGAACAACATGGCCATGGCAGTCCGCAAATTCAGGTTAGCTACTCGAGATAGTATTTTTCATGCATGTAATCATCGCGTACCTGTACTACAGGAAATTTAGTTTGTATTTTTCCGAGGTGAGGTACAATATCATCGAAATCAATGAACTTAAATATGGCATTAGTGACAGTGTTAGCAGCCTGTTGACCCCAGTTACGATCTAAAGCATCCAATGAACCAGGACCATAGAGATACAATGTTTCTCCTTCCAGTTCAGCCAGATGACAGATGGTTGAATCAGCCACACTTTCTTGACTAAAAACGAAATGTCTAAGCTATGAATTTATGCATTTTAACTAACAATACAACGTTTTACAACTTACACTATATAGAAGTAGCATCCTGCAAAAACGTAAATGGTGCAGTCAACTTCACTTTTCAAACAGATACAACTGAAGCGTTTCCAGTATACACTACAAAAAATGCAGTGACTCAAAATATTGAGTAAAAATTACTCAAATTCATGAGCAAATTTACCCACTTTCAGAGTAAAGTAAATCTTTGTTTAAATTGAGTAAATTTGAAACTTTACTCCAAAAATTGAGCTTACTCAAAATTTGCAATCACTGCATGTGGGTGCATTATTTTACTCAAGTTTTGAATAAATATATTTAGGGATTGTTTGCAGTGTAAAGAAAGTTCGCCATGCATGAAGAGTTATCAATTACCTCAACATTTCTGGTTCGGAGCTTTTGTCTTCACGTGAAGATTTGCTATAAAATGGAAAATTTAAATATTATAGCAAACTTCACCTCTCGATCGTCTTCACCCCACGAGTACGCTTGGGGGAGTCTCTCTCACAACAGCTTTCCCTCTCTCATGGAGTCCCCCAAGGATCTATCTTGGGACCTTTGATGTTTATTGTTTACGTTAATGATCTGCCTTCGATAGTGGGTAACTGTAAGCCGGAGTGTTACGTAGATGATAGTAAGCTTTATATTAGTTTCTTAGTTAACAACTTGGATTTAGCAATAGACCAAATCAACAAAGATCTCCATCAGTTATGCTGTTGGTGTTGCGGCAATTCTCTACTTGTAAATCCTGAAAAAACCAAAGTCCTTGTTTTGGGTACTCGGTAGCGTTCGCAACAACTTCCAAACTTTTCCATCAAATTTCTTTCTAAACAGATCATGCAAGCCTGTTCCTGTTGGGAAAGACCTTGGAGTTCTCTTGGATTCATGCCTGGCTTATTCTGACCATATCACAACAACTGTCTCTTCATGCATGTATTCATTATTTCAGATTAATCGCGTGAAACATCTTTTGGATCGCAAAACACTTTTACTTGTGATACATTCTCTAGTGTTTAACAGATTATGTTACTGCTCTTCTGTATGGAGCAACACGTCGAAAGAGAATGTAAAAAAACTGCAGCGTGTACAAAACTTTGCTGCCCGTATATTAGTTTGCTTACGAAAGTACGATCATGTTTCTCCCGCTTTCAAAGAACTTAAATGGTTGAACGTTAAAGATCAGTTATACTTTAGAGATGCTATACTCGTCTTTAAATCTTTACATAATCTAACACCTCCTTCGCTCACCGAAAAATTTAAAAAAAATTCTGAAGTACATTCCAGAGTTACAAGAAACACTAGAGATTTACATTTGCCACTTTGTCGCCTTGTCACAGGACAGCGGACTTTTAGTTTTAGAGGAGCCAAATTATGGAACTCGTTGTTACCAGAGTTTAAATCAGAGAAATCACTTCAATCTTTTAAGCATAAACTATATAAACAACTACTCAGTGCATATGAGTAATTCTAGATGAGTATATAACTTTTTTATAAATCATATTGTAATATATTTTCTAAATTGTATCACTGAAAAGCCCTTTTTAGGGAGTGGTACTTTTACTAAAGTTTATGAAGTTTATGTGTATGACATGTAAAAATGGCAATCGTGTTCCTATGTTTAGGTTCTTCACTTAAGCTAAATATTTTTCTTATACAATAAAATCGTCATACAGTAACACTCATGTATATATCCTAAGAAATAAATTATACACCATTGTCGAAGTATCAAAATCACCTGTTTTCACTGCCAGGAGTGCCAACATGAAATATCTCCCACTGCTTCTGAGCATTGTTTATGGCGATTCTTTTCTTTTCCTGAAAGATGAAAAAAAATTAAAATACACAAACATTATACATATATACTACACGCAGTACATATATACATAACATGATGGCAATATCACGAGGGCAAAACGTTTTATTTCAAAATTTATGAAGAATATTGAGTTGCCTGCAATGCCCAGCAACAACTTTGTTAATTGGCATTGTTGGGGCTGTACTGTGTCTCAAATGCTTGCATGATCACCACGAGAAGAAAAACGAAGTAAGGCAGAGCAAGTAGCTATACCAAAGAGAACAAACCTTGCAAACTGTTGGCACAATATGGTTACGTTATGGTTTAGTTAGGTGGAAATTCTAACCAGCTGCCTGTATATACACCTACTACAGATTGGATAATTCACTATTACTCTCTAGCTGGTTAGATCTGTTCCAGATACAAAAACCCACACAGATAAAAAAAAGAGATAAAAGAAACACACAACTCAAGCAGGAAATTAAACGAAGTAAATTACTGTAAGTTAACCCAAATTTGGTCCAACGTGCAATTTGATCCTAACCAGGGGCACTTTCCATTTCATGGCCAGACCGCTTTATCTAATAGTTAATAGTTATCATAGCTAATAGTTATGATATTTCGAATGCAAGGCAAAGTTTGGGCAAAGTGTTTACATGGAAAAATATTCATCTCGCCTTTTTCCATATATATAGGCGCACGGGAGGAAAAATTAAGGGGGCGGACAAAAATTTGTCCGACGTTGGAAATTGCCCTACAAATTAATTCCCATAATTTGTTTTAAGCTTCCATAATCACGGCTGGGATCTCGCCGTTGCCGTGTCTTCCCTTATACAGTACCTTGAGATGTGTAATTCTCCCCACTTCCTTCTTTTTATCATCCTCTTTCTTTGCTATCACATTTGCCAATCTCTTTTCCTCTTCCTACAAAAAATAAATATTTCATAAGTATTCAAACACTGGCATTACATACATTTTATGTGTAGAAATCGTGAAACTAGATTGACACATTAATCTGGATGACTAACACTGGGCATCTAGGATAATTTTGAACTGTCTGGCAGACTGATTCATGACTTGAACAATTCATTTATTGTTGTACGAACTTGCACCCAACATAAATAATGTGCCAATGTGGTTAGAAAGCTACTTAACAATCACTATAGAAATAATTTATCAACTTTCCACCTGGGAAAGTTTTTCACCGGGCACCGTCCAACCTCTCGGCGGCCCTATATAGGGATAGCATTTAGAAAGACAGGAAGCTCGACTGCATGTGGTTTATTATATCAATACAAATATCCATACATAATGTCTATATATCTAAGCGCTCAGCCAGTCAGTGACGGCTAAACCGCAATGTGAATTGCGAATAAGATAACACGAATTGCGAATAAGATAACACGCATTTGGAAAGTCCCTGCGACGGAGGTTGCTGTCTGAGGTTATGCATTTCATATTTGTATTCATATAATAAGCTCCTTGTGGTAGAAATAAAGTTACTGTAGTAACAAATAAATTTGGTTGGATACGGTTAAACAGGTGTGAGTGTACCAAAAAAAATATCTGGTACTACAGTAACATCAAACGTTGTTTATTTATTTATTTATTTATTTATTTGTTTAACTTTTCCAACTAGGGCAGGGACACCACAACAGCATATGCAAGCCAATTACTGTGGGCCCTTTTACCTAACCCACCCTGTCAACTTTCCCTGCATGTGGGAGGAATTTCCTAAACCGGAGAACCCGGAGAACACCCACGACTTTCGGCAGAGCGTTGACTTTTTATTCTTTTCACACGAGGACTGGGTTCGAGTCGCATTAAGAAAGTTCTCACTGAGGCTTGAACCGGTGGCTTTAGAGGTGAAAGGCAAGTGCGCTAACCACTTCACCACCGAAGCCTCATTCTTGTTGATGTATAGAAGCTACCTAAATAAAACTCCGTATGCGCGTATTAAGATAACGTACAGTTATTCTCCTCATATCAAACTGACGAAGACTTGGAATATTCTTCAGCACACAATGTTTATATGATTGTTCCACTGAGAATGGATTTCCATCTAGCGACAGTTCTGACAGCACATTACATTGCGAAAGACACCTGATGTCATCAAAACTACAAAATAAAGAACGTTGTACGCAAAATCAACTGCTTGGAAAACGACCAAAGGTAAAAGTTATGCATACCAATTAGGAATCTCGTATTCTCATTAAAATGACAATGAAACCAAAACACTACATCTCTCAAAAGTGTAAACAAACATACTCTTCCCATTGATAAGGGCGTCTCCAAATTGTAAAAATCTTAAACCTTAGAAATATATGGCTGCCACATGACAACCTATAGTCAATCATGATTGAATACAGTATATTTATGGATGCAGACTTTAAATTTTCTGATATTTTCGAGGACCTATGGCCACATTCTTGGAGTCAACCTCACTCATGCAACGTTAGCAGTGGGCTAACCTGCGATATATAGACTATATGTATGATTTGCATCAGGCGCATATTGCATGAGACCCAATTACTGAGCACTCGCTTATTTCACATTTAGTTTCAGCATGTTCAACCACTTTTGCAACGCCTGTACATGATTGACATGTGGTAAGACGCGACAATTATATAGCCACAACAGAAAACTTTGACGTTTACCTTTGAATGGAATTGAAGCTAAGAAAAAGCCTTTGTAAATTTGGAAGTTGGTCGATCTCAGACTAAAAATAATCCGAGAAACAATGATAAGAATGTATATGAGAGATTATTGTGTGGATATATAGTTTTGTATTTCTTACTGCATGGGTAAGGGGTGGACAAACCAGGAAACATTATTGATGATGATGTTTGATACACATTATCGCAATAAAAATGAATTATATTGCGTTTACAGGAATATAACTTATTAACATATGATAAGAAAACTACAATAATATTCTAGATCTAAAACTATTGTAAAAACTACATATGACTATAGTAAGTATTTCAATAAAATCTGATATGAAAGGAATATCAGTTCATTAGCTATAGAGATTGTTTTCGGGAAAAAAAAACTATTCTTAAAACGATCTGTTCTACACTTATAGATTCCAATTGTTCGAACTTCTAATCATTGACAAGTAATTGTGGGCGGATGCTCCGGTTTGGGCCACATAAGGGGACAACGGAAACATAGCGTCCCAGTCATGTTTCCTGAAGGCGGGCAAACTAGCAAAAATTGTTTCTGCACCAAAATCACACTTGGGAAGAAATGGTTTCTGCATTCCTTGGGAAACATGTTTGGCCAGGTGCTAATATAACTTACCACGGTCACTATTTTATTTCTTCTCAAATTCAGTTCGGCAAGTGCTTGCATGCCACGCAAATTTCGAACCTCAGTAATGTCATTTCCAGCGAGATTTAATACTCTCAGCTCTGAAAGGTGATTTAGATTGTCGATGCTCGATATCTAATAAATATTAAAAAACTCATTAATAATTCATGAGGAAATTACAAAAGAAATGAATGCTTAATCAATGTTTGTAAATCGGATAAATATTTGTCCTGATTTACATAAACTTCAGCTTTGATTTTCTTGGCTTAGACAATGTTTATTTTTAAAATTACTTCGCCAATGAACTCAGAAGATGGGTCGTTTTTAAAGCACGTTAACATTCGCATCCGATCTTTATCTGATATATATCAGATAAAGATTGGCTGCTCATGTTTCAACTAGTACATAACGTATTCAATTACAAAACATGATAGGTAAAAAATATTTATTTGTGAAAATTTTCACTGGTGACTTTGCAGTTTACATGCAGCAGTATTTTGGACTTGGGAATTGAAACACAATGAAGTTATGTCATGTTGCACAAAAGAAAACAAAAAGAAATTCCTGCATTTAGACTCCATTTTGTAATACAGAAATTAACCCTAAGATACCTTGTTACCATGGAGATCCAAAACATCCAGTTTAGTTAATGCATCTAAGTTTTCAATTTTTCTTATCCTGGAACAAGAAAAAATGTTATATGAGAACAATCTTTTTTATGTTATCACCGGTCGCTTGCAACAACGCACAATGCACCCATTGCAACAAATCCCTGAGTATTTTGACTCAAAAACGTAAAATAATGCATGCACTCGACATAGTGACTCAAAATGTTGAGTAAAATTACTCAAATTTATGAAGAAATTTACTCAAAAAGAAGTGAATTTGCTCATAAATGTGAGTAATTGTGCTCAATATTTTGACTCACTGTGTCTGTGGATGCACTATTTTAATCAGTACCACACGTCTCACAGCGCTTCCTATAAGTGTAAATAAAATGGTTTTTGGAATTCCTATTAAAGCCCGTTTACACTTGCCATTTTGCTGCGATTTCTAGTGCGATTTTCTACTTCTGATGCATGTGAATGAGTAGATGAGTTCTGAATTCTCAGATGAGGGTACATAACAGCGACTGAATTGAATGAAGGGTCATGTAGAAGATTCATAACTCATCTACTCGTTCACATTAAAATTATTTTTATCAAAGATTAATGTTTATATTTGAGATAAACGTTTTGAATTTATGTCATGAATTTATTTAATTTATTATGTGGAAATTTTCACGTGCCAATTAAATAACTCTTTGTTTGAGCTCAAACGAACAAGCGTAAAATGATCCTTCACCTTATATTTGAATTTCTATAACAAGTTCAACTGGTTCAGAAGTCTTGAAAACTAAATGATATATTTACATTATAACAGTTTGTTTTATGTTAAAGGTGATCTACAGTCCGATCTGCGCATGTGCACAAAGGAGCCCACTTTTATGATACAAACAGTTAACTATGTTTTGGGTTCTTGCAAAGCCTGATTGTTGTTTCTTGATCATTTATTATACTCTAGAAGCTTGAAAATATAAATAGTTGTCGAATAAAGCTCAATATTTTGGACGCAAAAATGTAAACAAAGGCTTTGTTTACATACGGACTGTAGATCACCTTTAAGTACTCTTATGACGGAAATAGTGTACTATATAATCTATACCCTCTAAAATAGTATTGACTCCAAGATCTAACTACAGTACTTCTGCCTGTCAGAGCGCGACGAAGCTAAAATGAATATGTTTTGTGATTGGCTTGCTAAAAAAAAAGTTTAAGTGATCTGTGTTTGTGAATCGTTCTTCAGACAATTTATTCATTGTGTTTCATTGTTCGACCTGACGCGTTACCGGAAATGGACCTTGCCATAATATAATTTGGAATTACCCCCTGCCTTCTTGGAATCCGGGTATTTCCCGCAAGGGGCTGTCCCGTTTATAACAAAGAGTGAAATGGTATACTGTATACCGTTATTTTCTGTTGTAAGTTTTATTATCGGTGCTGTTAGTGTTGACAAATTGCAGCTCTTTGCGACGGAGAACTTTCAAATTGTTGAATTTCTTTACCAGGTTTTTAAAATACACCGCAATCTGTGCACCGCAATGCTTACAAGGAGATCTCACTGTCTAGTGTCATTAGGATGGTTCGTAGCTTTGCTGATGTACGCTGCACAAGCGTGGTCTCTTATGAACTTTTTTGTGAAACCCATTGGCACCTATGGCACGGGCAGTGGTTTGGTTCTCATGGTATCTGGCCTTGCATTTTACCTAGCACTTGCTCTGATTGCCATTATCACCATGTGCTGTTTCAAAGCCTATGCAAAAACGGACGAAGACGTTTGGTGGGTTTGGGGCTTCTGGTTTGTCTACACCTTACTTTTCACCATCTCAGTTGCGGTAATATTTATCGAAGTAGCAGGGGAACTGAAAAAATCCAACACTTATGGGCCTAACTTCCTAAAAAGCGTGTTATGCATAACTCCAGCCTTACTCGTCTTATTGCTACAGCTCGTGATAAGTCCATCCTATCGAAAGCCAGTTCTATCTCTGTCTATAATCGCAGCGTTGAATATCTACGACGGAATTGAGATGTTGGAAATTGTCTTGATGCAAAACGAAAGGGAGAATTTTAACCTGGACTACACTGTTGAAAAAGCGATCATTGTGTTTGCATGTTTAAGTTTTGTATTCACCTCGCTCGGTTTAACCCGACATAAATTTGATAATTACGACAAAGTAGAGGAAAGAGATAGCGGAATAGTTGCTTTCCTAAGCCTACTGGAGATCTTATGCATCAACGTTCCGTTCCTCGTGCTGAGAATTATCGTATGGGTCGATTGTGGTTACGAAGCGTCAATATTTATCGCGAAGAATATAGTCTCGTTGGTAATGGGCTTGGTTGCATTTTGTCTGTACTGTGAATGCTGCACTTGTGAATAACCAGACTGAAACTTCTGCTACACATTGATATTATAGTTTTCAGTAGTGGTGTTTAAATATAGTGTACGTAGTTCCATGAATTGTAATCGATGTACGTTTACCCTGCTCATAAGAAAGTACGTAAGTGTTGTAAAATCATTACTGTCGATGCAATGGAAGTGTTGATAAAATATTGCACCAATTCCTTTCCTCAAGTTGATCAAATGAATCAACTTCCTGTTACTTTTAGATGAGCCAATTAGATTTCGTTTCAGAACCGATTGACCAATAGGAAACGCACAGGAAGTAAAAAGAAATTTGAGTTCGTATGAATTGATCAACTTGAGGAAATGAATTCATGCAATATTTTATCGACAGTAATAATTCATGACGAAAATAAAATGAAATCAATGTTTACGTTACTCTCGATTTCAATTTGCTTTTCAAAACTGACTTCCAATGTTTACTTGTAAATTCGGAATGTTCGTTGTAAAGTTCCCAAGTTTGTTTCGAAGTTCGTTACGATGATTCAATAGCAAGCGATTTGATTGGCTGGTTCACTTAACTAGCCAATTACAACTTACTAAATTTGATTATCGTAAATCATCGGAACGAACTTCGAAACAAACTTCGGAACTTTACAACGAACATTTCGAATTTACAAGTAAACATTGGAAGTCAGTTTTGAAAAGCAAATTGAAATCGAGAGTAAAGAGGTGTTGTATTCACAAATATCAAATTCTCCTGATTTACATAACTTTCCCTCGATTTTCTTAAAACAAAAGCTGTTCAAATCCATACGTTTTACAAGTTATATACAGCATTCACTCGAGTTCGTGTATCTGATACAACATACACGGCCGTATAGCATGCTGTATATATTACTTAAATGCTCAAAAGTCCAGTTGAAAGCGCCAGAATCTCCCCATCATGAAAACATAACGGGGTGTATATCCACTAAATGTCCCGAAATGACGTCATAACAACTTGGGTGACTGCATAGATTTTTGTAGGGATCATGGTTAGGATCACCCTAAGAATTACGATTAGGATCAGATAAGGGTTAGGATTAGGGTTTGAATTTGTTTAGGCAAAAATTAAAATAAGGATTATTGGGGTTATGAGAATAAGGAATAGTTAAAAGTAAACAACACTTAATGATCAGATGCTGACCCAGGTTCAATCCTATACTGAATACGACCTGAGATGTAGGTTTAATACTTTGGACGTTGATTTAAATAATAATATTAGCCATTAATTTTTGAGGATAAATTTTGTGTAACTACAATAAAAAATTATTTTTACAAAAGTTTGTATCTTTAACTTGTCTGGATAGGGAAAAAATTGCCATCGTGAGGAATATTTGGTAGCTAAGAATTTAAACAGTTAAAATTAAGGCACAAAAAGCATATCTATCTCCCAATTCTAAGTATCCATGTGGTATACTGTTATAATGGTGATGTTACCATGGTAATGGTTATTGGTGGTGATGGTTATCATTGTACTGATTATGATGGTGATAGTATTGTGATGATGCAATACAAATCTGAAACATAATGAAAGTTTATACCTATTTTTCCCCAACATAAGAACTCTCAGTGATTTCAAAGACGACAAACCAGATATGCACTCCAGGTGATTATCATAGAAATCAAGAAAAATCAATCTTTTCAGCTGGGATATATTTTCAATTTTAGAGATAAAATTATGTTGAAAGTTCAAAAGTCGAACATTGTCTTCGCCTTCTAGTACCGGACATACATTCAGTTTTCTCCTAAAAAGGGGGAAAATACATTCAATAATAATTGCAACTATATAAGTAAGAACTAAATTACGAGACACACACCGATTAGTCTGGCCCGATTAGAATAAGGCCCGTTGTTTCCACAGAAATATATTTCATACGAAGTTATTACTGATACTAACACTGATGGATTACTGATAAAATAAGTAGATATACGTGCACCGATTGAAAATAGTTGGCATTGTTTTCCACCCAAAGACAACGCCAAATTATTGGTGCAAAGAGATCTTCCCTAGCCTTCTCCGCCGACAACTCGGTGACCAAAGGTAGAATTACGCAATACTTATAGAGAAATGATCTGGGGGCTAACAGCTAAATATTGCGTAAATTTCGAGTCGTTGTTATCCACCGTTGATTCATCCGCCAGGGTGGCGAGGACGTAACTTAAACATTAAGAATTGGTGTTGGAAACTTTATAGGTGGGGGCCGCACAAAAGACAGTTGACATCGACCAATGCCTATCCATGTGGGTACATTCATTTACTATTATTCAGCCACCCTGTGCCTAATGAACCTATACCTACCCTGAAGTGACTATAAAGATCCAATTGGACCAATAAATATACCTGTCTAGATTAAGACGATCTGGATTAGTGTGACGATCTTCTGGTAAACGATACACTACAGGGACTCCTGGAGTCGCGGCAGCTTCCGTAAATAAAACACGATCACCTATAAAGATTACAAAATAGATAAGGTAGTTGACAAGACTAGGATAATGCAGGAACTGCATGATAATACATTCAGTATATACTGCATGAACAGGTGAAATACACACCCTTTCAAGTCCACAAATAGAGCCTGCATGCTGTGCTGCCTGTGCATGCTAAGTTCAGACTAGAACGCAGTGGCGTGCTGGCAGGGGGGGCCGGGGGGCCACGGCCCCCCCAGCTGGCAATTTTTGGGGGGCGCAAAAATGAAAAGGGGGCGCCGATCCTGCGCCGAATTCTGAAAGTGGGTGGGAAAAAAACGCATTTGAAAAAATATAGTTACTTCCACCAAGAAAAAATGTGTTATAGGCTTATAAACAGACTGAGCGCATAGGCGACAAAGTGATATATTAAATTACAGACTATTTTGTCTAACCAGCCAGTATTGCTACCTCACACGAAATCGTTCATATAGAAACATGATCAGTGATCACACGCAATGTCGCATTACCGGAATATTGGCCAAGTTTCGAAGCGATCACGGGAATTATGCCCTTTTTTTGCTTGTATTATGCCCTTATATTATGCCTTTATATTGCTTCACGAATCACGAGAGCGGCGCAAATTAGATAGTTATGATAATGTAAAGTTGTGTACGCAATTTAGTTGTTTGAACAAGAAACATCATAACTCATCGAGTAATGTGAGTAGTAAGATAATGCTGAAACGCGCGCCCTTTTTGCAGCCAGGCAAGGAAACCTTAAACGGCATGGTGTACCACTGACATCGACTCGCACCGATGTGCAGATGAACTGCTCAACTTTGCAGAATCTTTTCAAAAATCGAAGTGTTCAGTGATTTTTCATGAAGACCGAAAGAAGAAGAGAAAGATTCTGATCTAGACTCCGGTTCTGAATCTGAAACCGAAGACTACGAAGAAACCGACAGCGAGTCAAGCGACGACGGAACTGCTGAAGAACCAAAGGACAAGGATAAACAATCATTTCTAGAAGCTCTGAGAATTTTGTCGAATCCTGATTACCACCTAGTTGATGTATTTCCAACTCTTTGTAAAGTTTAC